CTCGCAGCCAGAGGCTTTGCAAGGGAAATTTATGATGTCGCTCAAGTGCTTTCGGGCTGCAGGCGTGTTGCAGCATATTGACGGCGTTTGGCATCAGCTAGACCAGAAATCGGGGGCAGGTGGCTTGTAGTGGCCGTTCCCTGGCCACCTAGAGCCACAAGCTCTGTCCCCAGTGTCCCCCTCCAGTGCAGGGGGCTGGCGGGCTGGCTGCGGTGAAGGAGATGTCACTGCCCTGCTCCCCTGCTGGCCACCTGGGCACACCGGGAAGGAGACCGGAGGCCGACCTTTGAGACGGCAGCTTGCTGAAGGAAGCAACATTTATTGCCTGAGCTGTAAATCAGTGAGCCCTTGGCTGTAACTATCCGTGCAGGGAGGCAGCTGAGCAAACGCAGCAGCGGGAGAAACGCTGAGCCGCAGCTGTGGCCGGTGCAAGAGCCGGGGGTGCCACTGCTGCCGCTGGGTCTCCGGGTCTCCTCCGCCACCTTCCCCATCCCACGTCCCCCACCACGTTGCTGAGGGGTTGAGCAAGGCCAGCAGCCCTCCCCGCTCCCCGCGTGCTGCTGAGGCAGCCAGCAGCCCAGTGCAAATATTAGCTGAGCGCGCGTGGATGGGCGGGGAGGGCTTTAAGCCCTTCTGCTCGGAAGACGCAGCAATCTATATCCCGGTGTTACCAAGAAACGGGGATTGTTTGCTGCTCTATTTTAGGAGACCGTGAAACGTTGCACGGAGCCTCGGACACACCAGGATCTCTATTTCCCTTCGGGAAATTGGGGTTATTGCTGAGCGGCACCGTTTCACAGTGGCACTCTGCAGCCTCAGAGCAGGCTCTGCTTATGCCTAAAAGCACGGGCACGTTGCTCAAACCTGCCCATTATTCAGCACCGTGACCCCTGCTCTTTAATCTACCTGCCTGCAAGGTGCAAACCGTCCAGTTCCTCACCACGTGTGTCCAGGGAGATCACAGTGACTCCCAGGGAGGAGGCATCATTTACTACTTGTTGCACAGCGAAAGCATGGCTGGCCCTCAGCAGCCCCTCTTTCAGTCGCTGCTGAAATTTCTCCTTTGTACGAACTGGAAGATCTTTCTGGTCTTAAGTGGATTTTTTGCCACCTGTTTTGGCTCTTTGTTTGCCTTCCCATGTCGCCTGCTACTGTACAAAATCCAGACTTGTTTTGCAAAGTTGCAGTTCCAAGATGAGAGGTACAGCTGAGCAAACATTTATTTCACATTTCGGCGGCACGGTGCCAAAGGTCCGGGGTTGTGGTAGCAGCCAGAGGAACAAATGCTCGCAGATGTTTGACTTCTCGACGTGCCGGGAGCAGCAGCCAGCAGGCAACGGCTGATTGCTCGGCGGCTGGCACCGGGCAGCACCGTGCCCATGTCTCCACAACCCGAAATCACCTGAAACCACCTGCAGGGCAGCTCCCCCAGCTCACCTCAAGACGAGGGTGAACCCCAGCTGAGGACACTGAGCTCCAGCATTTTCAGATCAGCTGCCCATGAGCTGCCGGCATAGGGCAAAGCTTCCTCTGGGTTTAACCAAATCCAGAGCTGGGCTGAGGGTAAGGGTCAGGGGTGCATTAGGTGGCTGGGCTGGGAGAAGTGGCGAGCACCCCCAGGACTTTCCCAATCCCACAGCAATGTGCAATGCGAGGGACTTCACGTGGCCAACGGGGAGCTCAGGTGAGGCTAAACAGCACATTCGCTTTCCTCTCTTTTCCCTTCCAGGCCATCTCCACATCTCGCTGCCACTGCCACGTGCAGGTTTTACAAAGGCACTAACTGCTCCCAGCTGCCGTAAATATTCCGGTTGAGGCCTTTAACCAGGATTAATAAAAGGAGCGCGGGTTTGTTTGTTTTTCATGCAAATGTGAGCCTCCCTGTGGGAGCTATTCAGTTAAGCTCTCCCAAACGGCTGCTATAAATGGAGTTTACTCTTTCTGAGGGTTTCTTCCACACCATTCGGTCCTGCCAGCCTGCTTGCAGAGGCAGCGCTGCTCCGGTGCCTCGTGCACGGGCACTTTGTTTCCAAAGCTGTGGCCTCAGCTTCAGCTCTGCTTTTCTTTAGAGTCATTTCCACAAATCATTACTTACACTGATTTCCCCTGTCTAATGGCAATAATGGAGAGGGATATGAATATTACGGCAGCGATTTCTTCTAATAGCAGCAGGCTCTTCCATTTGACACTGTACGAAATGGAAATAAATTTGAAACATTTCAGGAAATACTTGGAATATTCCTCAACCTGTGCTGCTTCCAACATCAGAGGCCACCTGAGATCTCTGTCTCGCTGTGTCCAGCTGGGAGAGGTGAGAGGGACGGTGCAAGTGCTCCCAAGCACATGTGCTTGTGCTGCTCCTTGTTTGCCATACAAGCAGGCACAGAGGTCAAGTAATCCCACACAGCGTGCCTTTCCTCTTACTGGAACAAGTGAGTTGGAAATGCAGATACTTTGGAACTCATTAGGTAATTACTCTGGAAAGTGTTTTAGAAGAAGCAATTAATTCATGATGCTAGGAACAAATAGGTGGGGGCACATCTTGAAGCCTCCTGGAGGCTGCTCCAAAGCGCTAAGCCAGAAAGGGCCGTGGGCTTTGCAGCTCTGTTGCACCTCGAAAAGGAGCTGCCCAGCATTCTGCATCCTTTTAACCCAAACAGTATCCCGGGCAAACAAAAATGCACACCGATATGATATCAAAAATGACTTAGCTAATGCTTCCATTTGTCTACATTTACCCACTCATTATAGGTGATTGCACAATTACCCACGATGAAATATTACCGCTGGAAGGTGCACACACACAATTTGCAGGGCTCCACCCGTGCTGCCTCCCTTCTCACGTCATGCAGGGCACTCGTGCTGCTGTGAGGCTGCTGGGCTGGCTCACCCAGCCATCTTTTGGGCCGTGTTTCTTGACGAAAAATTCAGGATTTGCATGACGTTTGTGTTTTTAACGTTTCTTAAAGTGTGCATCTGGAAACAGAAAGCAACAGGCCTGAGAGTTTCTGACTGTTCTTTTCTTTATTCAAGAAAAATCACGAATGTTGTAGCTGTGTGCTCAGACATAACAACCAGGAAAAGGTGGCTGTGTGATATCAGGAGGGAGAAAGCATCTCGCTTTGAGGAGGAGGTGTCCCTGCTCCTCCGGACCAGCAGCGCTTCCCGATGAACTCGCTTAATCCTTGCCTGAACGTCTAGTCAGGCCCTGTCAAGCACATCCAAGCTCAAAATTCTCCAGTGAGCAAAATCTCACCCACTGAAGGATAAATATATTTCTGAAAGCTCCTAAAGAAGAACACTTTTTTTTTTTTTTTTTTTTTGGGTGATTGTGTGTATCTATTTTGCATCAATTAATTTAAGAAATCTTTTCTGACAATCTGTCAGAGAAGTCAATCTGTCTCTATAGATAGACACGCAATGTCTGTGATGTTCCTACCAGCAAAAGTTGCTTCTGTCATCCCCAGCTGCTTTTTTTTTTAATTATTTTTTTTTTCCCAGCAAATCCACCTCTGCAGGCTTATCTGTAGCACTTCCAACCACTGAACCAGTTCGGAGCAATCACCACTGAAAGAAAACCTTTCATAAAAAAATGGCTCAATTTTCTTCTGATCATCGCAGAGAGTTTTATTGCTGTCACGTCTGGGACGGGGAGGACAGAGAGATGTAGCTTTCAGACATCTACGGGAGAGAGAAAGAAAGAAATTTCTGCGTTCTCCAATGCGATAAACAGCATTTATTTCCAGAAAATCCCAAAGGCTTCTTGGGGGATTATGTATAGATAATACCATTATAGACGCTGGCGTAATTTATTCTATTTTTTCTGCCTTCACAGCTGGCACAAGTGGACTCAGGGCAATGAGGTTTTTTGATGAATGATGTAAAAACAGCATAATTTAAAAAAAGAGAGAGGGAGAGGGAACTTTGCTGAGGAGATCCTTGAGAGGTTCCCACCATCGCTGTGGCTGCCATCGTTGTGTTAGCCTCTTTTGGGAGCACAGGGCCCTAAAAGAGCTGTGGAAGTTTTTCTGGACTCTTTTGTGATGCCAGGCTTGTCATCAGGGTGCCACAGGAGCCCAGATGATGTGAAAATCCCAAAAGGTGGCCTCTGGCAGCACCCAACCCTTGCCTTGTGCCCCACCGCCAGGAATCGGTGCTCACCCCCTCTGAAAAATGGAAAAAAATGAAAGCAAAAAGGTTTGTCAACACACCGAACAGGCGATGGTATTTTGACGTTTACAACAGCACCACTACCAACGAAGCAGAAAGAAACCTTGCAAACAGCCACCCACCCACCGCAAATACACCACGCACACAGGAACGAAGCCCCAATCCGAGCTGGAAATACCCCAAAATCAGCACACGGAACACATTGGAGTCACTCCTTAGTGACTGAGGTGAAATATTTATTAGCAACATTCGCGTTTTCAGCGGCGGGTGCTCGGGGACAGCGCTGTGTGGACACAACCCCCCCCCCCCTTCCCCATGTCCCTTCCCAACCCTCCTGAGGCGCCCGCCATGGCGGCGGCTGCCCCCAGCGGGCATGCGCAGCGGGGCCGGGGGCGCGCCCGCTTCCCGCCGTGCAGCACCGCGGCCAGCGCCCGGCCGGGGGCGCGCGCGCGGGGCGGGGCCGCGCGGGGCGGGGCGAGGGCGGGGCCGCGCGGCGCGGGGGCGCGCGCGCGGGCGCGGGCGCGGCGGCGGCGGCGGCGGCGAGCGGAGCCGGGCAGAGCCGAGCGGAGCCGAGCCCAGCCCAGCCCCGGCAGCCTCGGAAGCGCGGCTCAGCCCCGGCCCGGCCGCCGCGATGCTGGACCCGTCTTCCAGCGAGGAGGAGTCGGAGGAGCTGGTGGAGGAGGAGAGCGGCAAGGAGGTGCTGGCGCCCGCCTGCCACCGCCCGGCTCTCCCCAAGCCGCCCCGGAGAGGGCCCTGGCCCCGGAGGAGGAGGAGGTGGTGGTAGGTGGAGGAGGTGGTGGAGGTGGAGGAGGAGGAGGTGGTGGTGGTGGAGGTGGTGGAGGAGGAGGAGGAGGTGGAGGAAGCAGCGGCAGCGGTGGGCTGCAGCCGGGCGGGCGAGCTGGCGGCGCGGCTCGGCCCGCCAGCCCCAGCCCCTCGGTGGCCAGCGAGAAGGAGAAGGACGAGCTGGAGAGGCTGCAGCGCGAGGAGGAGGAGAGGAAGAGGAAGCTGCAGCTCTACGTCTTCGTCATGCGCTGCATCGCCTACCCCTTCAACGCCAAGCAGCCCACCGACATGGCCCGCCGGCAGCAGAAGGTACCGCCACCCCCTCACCTTCCCCTGCTGGCCCCATGCCTGGCCCCGCTGCCCCATCCCCACCCAGCACCCCGCCAACCTGCCCTCCTGCTCCCCAGCCATCTCCCTGCACTGCCCTCTCGCTCGCACACTCGCCCACCCACTCCCCAGCCTCTCCTCCTACTCGGTTGCCACTCGCCGGGCACCCCAAGGGCAACCTGGGCTCAGGGCACCTTGGCCCCGCACCGCAGGGGTTGCAGCAGCGGCCCCAGCCCTGTGCACGGCCTCGCTCCTCGCCGTGCTGCCGCCCAGGCGGAGCTGGGGTTGGCGTGGGGCATCGTCGCGCCCGGTTATGCAAGGTCGGCGTTGGGGAAGTTTGGGATTTTGGCTGTTTGGGTTGTGCTGCTGGGAAGCAGCAGGCGTGCACTCTGTCCTCCTGCTCAGGGAGTTTGCAACTTCACGCTCGCTGCAAAGTTCGCTTCGCCGGGAGTGCCAGCGCTGGCTTAGGGAGTTGCCGAGCCTCCTTCCAACTTCTCCCAAATGTTAGCACGCGGCGAGCTTCCCCTATTCCCCTGCAGAACGTGGCAGAGGTGCTTTGCCACAAAACGGCTGGCACGCTCCTCGCTCTTTCTCCCAAATGCATCACCAGAGCATGGCACGAGCTGCTCCAGACACGGGCAGGGGAGCAGCGCCTCGCCAGGGTGCTGCGGTGATGCTGGGTCCAGCACCGGGCCGTCTGCCCTCTGCCAAGGCACGAGCTGGTGGCCCGGAGCAGAAATCCAGTCCCTCCAGCACAGGGACGTAGGCACACGTCAGCCAAACGCAGCCAACTCGCTCCCTGTGGCACTCAGGGTAGGTCCGTGGTGGGACGTGGCTCTCTGGGATGGCCGGCTGCTGTTTTCCCCTGGTTTTAGTTGAGTTTCACAGATGGCGATTTTCGCCTCGGTACCGTTCTTTGTTCACAAATGACCTTTATAAGCCAGGAAGGCTCCTGGATGTACTGCTGCAAACGGCGTTCATTCAGTTCTGCTACACCACGGGACTATTATTAGTCATTGCAACATACGGAGGTAGGAAAGTGCATCAATTCTGCGCGCGGTTTAAAGGCAATGTAGGACAATCTGCTGTAGCTGGAAGGCTGAACAGTCTGCTTTTGTGAGAGTGAAGTTCATGGCTGAGGCTTTGGAGAGTTGGTTTTTATACATTGTTCACCTACAGACCTTTTCATCAGACTGTGGATTTTCAAAGTCATCTTGGCTTTTGTTCTCTCTGAAACTTACTCGTGTTAAGCTAAGGGAATTTACATAATTCCTTGTTTTGAAGGATATCAAGCAAACAAACAGAAGGGAGTTTTTCCAAAGGCACAGGCAGCATCTGTGTGGTCTGGAGATGGGTGGCTGGGAAGAAGGGCGATTTATGGCCCGTGAAATCCAGGTACTGCCCTGTGATGAGACAGGGGGAGGACAAGAAAAGGAGGCAGCCAACTGCAGGTGAAACAAAGAAACGAGGAGTAAAGAGAACAACGATAAACTGGCAGCAGTACTCGAGGGAATGGGGAAGTTGCACAGGACCTGGGGAGAAAATAATCCCTTCTGTGTGAAATGAGTAATGTTGGGAAATATGCCTGGCTTGTTTATACAAATAGCTAAAATAGGTGTCTCTCGGGGGTTAGCGTCTCCCCACAAAGTTAGCAGTGAAATGGAATTGGGAAAGCTAAATGTAACCTGACAACGTGTCAAATTGAATTCACCCTTTTAAAGGTGAATTCACTCTGGGTTTTCTTCATCTGTATATTCCCATGCTCAGTTGTCACAGAGGTTCCTGGGAGTAAATCCTTGCCCGTTTCCCTCAGCCTAAGCTCCTGTTAAAGTCAATTAAAGCCCTGCCAGAGCATGTTGTTGGACTGCACATGATCACTGCTTTCCTCTCGGATCACTGTGGGAAAGCCCACCCTTTCTTTCCTGGCGTGCGGGAGACCCAAGTGTGGTGCCTGTGGGTTTTGCGTCCTCATGGGCACAGAGATATTGCCACCAAGGCTCTGCTGGATTTAATAATCTTTATAGGAACTCCATGTATTGATGTGTTTTCCGTGGTGATGAAAATACCAGATGCTTCAAGACTCATCAGGGTGGAGCAAATAGGTTTTGGCTCTCAGAGAGAACATGTGTGACAGCAGAGCTTTGGCCGTGCCCTGGTGGGAGCTGTTGCCTCAGTTTCCCCCTGACAGGGGGGTGATAAACCTGACGGGAGGAATTTGAGGCCTGAGAAGCACACCCTGCCAAGTCTGCTTCTATATCCTCGTTTAATTCTCTGTGATTGCCTCAGTGATGGGGATGAGGGCGCTGGGTTGTGCCACTGGTGCTGTGCGATGCGTGGTGGCTGGAGTAGGCAGCCTGCTGTTCCCCCGCGCTCATCAGCGCCTTGGGATGAAGCGAGGTGTGCTCTTGGGGTAGGGGCACAGCAGAGAGATAATTGCGTGCCATCTGATAAGTTTTAGCATATGTGAGAGTGAAGGGAAGAGTGGAAATGTGTGAATGGGCAGCTTAGCTGGGGGTGCAGCACATGGGCGCAACAGCACTGCACAATCGTCTCGAACTCTGTTTCAAATTCCAAGAACAATTCAAGCTCTTGCCACTCGGAGCTGGTATTTTTCCTGATCCTGACACGCCAGAAATTTCAGAAATGCTGTAAAAAAGTGTTCTTTAGATCAGCACACATTCAAGCTTACACCTCTGCTACAGATTTACCGTGGTGTTTGGGTGGAAAGGCTTCACTTCAGTAACTGCACATCTGTGATGTCTACCTGTCCGTTTTGGTATTTACAGCTCACTCGCCTCGCTTCCTGAGGAAGAAGGCTTGTTAGATACCTGCCTCTGCTGTCTTACTTCCCTCCTGGATTTCTTTTTTAAGCCACTTACGAATTCCGAGCATGCTTGGCAGGCAGACAGTGGTCTGCAAGATGCCAGTCCCTGAGGCTGGGCGAAAGCAGGGAGATCGGCAAAGAAGTACCCCAGCGGGGCGGGTTTGGCAGCGGGCAGGAAAACCTATTTTTGCCAGGAAAGCCCTGCTGGCAGGCAGGCACAGGCTGTGCTGGATGCTGCTGGGGCAGGAGGGCTGTGAGGTGCCCCCCAGGGGTGGGTGTCCGTGCCTTCCAGGTGGCATCACCTGAGAGATCGGCTCCAGGATGTCAGCATCCCTGTGAGCACGTGTCTTGGGAAGGGGTGGTGTGGAGGACTGGGTGGGTGATGAAACCTGGAGAGCACGCTAGCTCTGGTTGCCCTTGCTTTTTCAGCACCACTTTCTGCCCCATGGAAAGAGGGAGCGTGTCCCAGCAGGGTGACCAGGACCGCTTTGCTGCGGGTTGCTGGAGCCAGCCCTGGGAGAAGCAGCTTGGGATTTGGGCCCTTGTGTAAGCCTGCGGGGTGACGTCGGGTGCATTAGCAAAATTCTCTGGTCAAATTCAGCAAAGGACTTAAGCCTGTGCTTTGCTGAATGGTGATTGATTTAAGCACCACTCTTAATGCAGAGCAGGTGTGTGGGATCAGAAACTGTTAAACCAGTTACAAAGCATCCTGAAATACAACATTTCTGCCATTTTGGCATGGGTGCAGGTGCTACAGCAGTTAGGAACGTAGCAAAGCTAACAGCCTTCCAAATAATGCCGTATTTCTTCACTACCCAGGGCTGAGCTGCTACTCTCAAACTATATTTCCACGAGTTCTCTCTTAAAACCACTGGCATGTTCTTCTGGGACTGACTGCGGCTCAGGTGGCATTGGGACTTGTTGGAGGACCTGTGATATTATGGGCAAATTCTGCTCTCCTGGCCCCAAGAAGCCCTTGGGGCTGTGTGTTTCTCAGCTCCTCAGGCCAGGAGAGGAAAGCAGGCGATGGGTTTGTTTTTCTTCTGTTCCTTGGCTGCTCTCCGGTGCTGCTGAAGAAGGAGACATGGGTCTCAAGCACGAGCTGGACCCCACGTGCAGCTCCGTAGCTGCAGGAGGGCTCACCACAGTGCAGCAAGGTCACAATCAGCTCTGTGCCCACAGAAACCCCTTGGAGCAGCTGGGGCTGTCCCCAGCTGGCTCAGTGTGGCCACGGCCACCAGCAGTGAGAGCTGGGTGAGTGGCTGGGCTCGGTGAGAGTTGGTCCCAGGGCAGATCCGTGCTGGTCCTGCGGTGAGAACAAGCCTTTCACTGCTGCCCAGGGAGCTTTGTCCCTGGAGAAGGAGGTACGGCTTGTCCAAGCTGCAGCACGGAGGACAGAACATGAGCGTCGTGTTCAGTGAGTTGTCTGGAATCCCCAGAAAATGGTTATTTTCAGTTAAAACACTTATCATTTATTTTGCCAGTGCCTTATCTTAATTTAATTCCAGCAGATATTAAATATTTGTCATAGCTGGGCTATTTATATACTTGCAGCTTATTGAATCGGGAAGCAGGTAATTAAATAGGCTGTAAGCTCGGTCCTTGTTGTAAAACTTTGCAGCTCCTGATCTGGACCAATGATTCAGTTGCTGTGGGTGGCACCTCTCAGGCCAGAGATGTTGTGAACTAGCAGTGGGGAAGACTCATCAGATCATGCAGATGCAACCTCTGCTAAAGCCCGTCGCTTGCAAAAAGTATAATTTATGGCCCCGCTTTGCGTAGTCTAGACGCTCTCCCCGAAGCACTTTGCCTTGTGCACAACTCCTAATTCCTCCTGATGAGTTATGAGTCACTCGCTCGCAGTTCACCTAAGCGGGAAGCGGTCAGCAAGTCATTCCCCTGGGTAATTTTTTGTTAGCTGAAGAAGTATTTAATTTGTTTTGCAGTGCGGTGTAGCAGTAGGAACCCAGCCATTGCCACGCTGGTACATGCAATGCACACAAACCCCTGCTAGCTCCTGCCGGTGCATTAGTCCGGGGGGGTACAAGGCAAACATCCCACTTAATTATGTAAACGTGATTAATATGCCAAGTCTGATCGATACAGTGTGATAATCAATACAGCTGTTTGTGGGGATGGGATGCTCAGGCTGCTCTGA